TATATATATATGTATATATTTAAAATGATAAAAAAAATTACCTCACATTGGAACTGAAAGGATAACCAGAACAGGGAATACCAAAGAACAGTAACAGGAAATAACATATTAAATATTGCCTTGGCAATATCTCAACAGGAAAAGCCGAAAAGTAACATTACACATCCTAAAAATCTAAAAGGAAAAATACTAAAAAATAATTTAAAGTGGAGACTCTGACATGCATTGCAGTTTCATTTATTGGACTGCACCATGCAGTCAGTGCGGGAGCAGTTTTTGCAGTTGGCAGTAAATTACCGCAAACAACCTAATGTCCCAAGAAAAACGAAAAAAGAAACCAACAGCGAGCCAGACGAAGACTAAATACCGTTATCATAAAAAACAAAGTAGAAGTGCACGAATTACCAGATGAGAAACAGAATTTTTCGAAAGAAATTAGAAATATATGAACAGCATGCATATACCAATTCAGATAAATAAAACATTTTCAAGAAGTTTTGTAATTTTTACTTTTACTGGTTTTGTTTCAATTTAAATTTTTCGAGGTAATGTGAAAATTATATTTATTTTTTGTCAATCAAAGATTATAAAAAAAGGGTTCTTGCAAACCTTTACGCAAATGTTTGAGAAAGTTCGGAAAATAAATATTTAAATGCTTAATATTATTTGTATCCAAACGCTACTCGCAATAATGGGAAATATGCTTTCTTTCTTCCAATTTTCAATGTTTAATTATGAGGGAAATAGCTGAATGAAAAAAAAAAGAAAAAAAAAGAGAAATCAGAATTATTAATTTCACCTTATTCTGCGATATGAGAAATTTGTTAATTTTTTTTCAGACAAAGGAGAATAGAAAATGGGGTATATAAAATAATTATGTTTGCTATTACGATAAATGGTGAAAAACAATTGTTATCCAATATAATTAAATTTCCCTGATATATATATATATTTCAAGGAATTTCTTAATAACTTCCGTATTCATGCTGCAAAAAATTAATAAGACTTAATTTATTGCTTGCATAATTTTTTATTCATTCGACCGAGAAGTAGGTCGTAAAAATAATGGCGGGTAATATTCTAAAAAACTGTAACTATTTTCTATTAATATTTTTCATGATAAAATATTGTATTTCGTTATGTAATGAATTAAATTTTGCATCGATATTCGCAATTGTTTGAATTTTTAAAGTAAGATGTTTCTAGCAACTTTATTGAATATGAGGATTGTAGATTAAGTTAAAGTATTAAATAAGTATGTTTTTCATTATATAATGAATTAAATAAATTATATCCCAGTAAAAACATTTCTGTAGACTAAAAAAATTACTTTAAATATTAGAGAATAGTAATATCTTGAGAATAATAACTTTAAAATTATTATTATCGCTTAAGATTTTGATTTTATAGCAAATCCTGGACTTGTTTTTGTAGGATTTAAAATACAAAATAAAGAATTTAAAATTATAAAAATGAAGTTTTGTTGTAAACCAGGAAACTTACATGTGGTAAAAGAAAAAATAAGAATATTTAAAAATGATTGAGGATGATGAAATGTTCTAAATGAGCGGTAATTTCCTTTTATTAGTTCATATACTTTTACATACTCATTAAAAATATAATAATTTTTGTAGGCTTAAATTTTTATTTAGTATAAACTTATCGTCGAAGAAATTAATTATACTTATATAAAACATTGCCAACGGTGTACAAAAAATTAGCAAATTGAACATCGGACACTTTTACAAGAAACATGTTTTGTTATACTTTAAATTTGTTATCTTACGATACTTGAAAAATTAGGTTAAGAAATCGTTGATAAATTTCTACTGCGTGCTTTGAACAATTAAGCCATAAAATATTTTAAAACTAATCCAAATTACACACAGCAAAATCATGCAAGGAAAATGCAGAAGTATATAGGATCAATTATTATACTTAATTTTTTTAAAGTTTCTTTTTAAAAAAATCATATCTTTTATCCATGAACAAATGAATATAAAAAAAGTAATGATAATAGTATTTTTTTTTACTAAATAAAAAAATAAATATAGCAATGGTTGTTTAGATTTTGTCTACTAGCTTCAGTGGGTACTAGGTAATAAAAAAAGAAGTGAAAAAATGTTCTTGAAATGTCTGCAATTGCATGAAACCTCATTGAAACATATGCATTTTTTCAATAACATTATGACTGCAGAAATGTGACTGCTTTTGTAAGGGGGTTAATTTAATATTTTTACAAAAAATTAATAAAAAATAGCTTAATACAATTACAAGTTAAAGGATTAGGAAAAGGCAGCTTTTATCTGCTCTTACTTAATAAAAAAATCAAATTCTTATAGAATGACTTTGTGAGTTTCCTCTCATTTTATTCAAATAATGGAAAAAAGAGTTAAAATTTGTACACTGTAAAAAATTCCGGATCAAATTATGGTATTAAGTTCTAGCACTTTGTGTGCATCATCCGTAAAAATCACTTTACAGAGAAATATTATACTTCAAATTTTATTTATTAAAATAGAGTGATTCAGTGATTGTACGGTAAATAGTACTGTAAAAATGACGGAAAATCAGATATTAGGAGAATATTAGAGTTCGTACTGCAGCAGCATCAACTCCTTTGGGAGCCCTAAAATATAGCTTTTAAAGCGTTAAATATCTCTTTATTCTTGTTAATTCTTATCAAAAACAAAATGTAATTCCCTCTGGCATCCCTGGTGAGTACGGGAATTTTTAATTTTTAAGATTTTGATTTCCGATGTCCCATTGATTTAGGCTTAGAGTACCAGACCGCCATATTAACATGCATTTCAATGCTAACGGATTCCATCGCTAAATTTGACATCAAATTTCTTTATTTAAACGTTTTCACTTTTGGCTAATAATACATCATTTCATTTGCTCAGGCGATAATCTTTTCATTTTCATGAAATTTTTATTTTCCGGTGGTCCGGTGCTCTTTATAACAGTATCATTTAGATTTAAGTTGTATTTGAGTATAGGCTATCGCTATGAAAATTTTTCGCCATTTATTAACTCTGATTTTGGATACTTAAATTAATATTTTTTAATTGTCATTTCGGCTTAATTTTTAAATATGTTTCTCCTCCAAATGTCTTTAAATGCCGGACACCCTGTTTTAAATTTTCAACCCATCCTCTGATTTTATATCAATTTCCAAAGATATATCACTTTTCCATGTTATTGGCGTTCTATTCCCCATAACAAATTGTAAGCAAACTTCATGATTCCAATCACAGTTAAGTGCTTCTAATCACGCCACATCCATCATTCCTTTATTTATTAAATTTTTAGTGGACTTAATTCATTTTAATAGCTTTTCTTATTCCATGTTGTTATTGCCAGAGTTAGTGTTCACAAATCTTCTTCTTATTGATTTTTATTGTACATATGTTATTTCAGTTCAATTTTATACCATCTTACATAGGTTAGGGCCCTGATTTTTATCTTTTAGTGTTATTTTACGAGCACCATTAAATCTTTATTTTTGTTGTCTCTTAGTGCTTTCTTTG